AAAAAAAAAAAAAAAAAGATATAACATCCCAGGAGTATGTTATCTTAGGAGTTAATTAAACATGGTATTTGAAGAATAATTAAATGCTTTCTAGTTCTTTGAGGCATAATAATGTGCATCTGTTGGGGGCAAGACACAATTGTTAAGAAGGACTTTACCTAACAAATGCAATCAGTGTAACCTGGTTTCTTGTACTCTCAAAGAATCCCCAACCCTTTAAAAAAATATGTGTATGGGTTGCACCTGTGGCTCAAAGTAGGGCGCCAGCCCCATATGCCAGAGGTGGTGGGTTCAAACCCAGCCCCGGCCAAAAGCTGCAAAAAAAGAAAAAAAAAAGGTATATTTGTTTTACTGTATAATGTTTTGAACCGAGTAGGTAGAATAGCACCTGCCTCAGATGGCACCAACAGTTCTATTTCACTGGGTAGTCTAAAATGAGCTTAGAGTTCAACTTAACTTGCTAATGTGAATTTAGGGATGAAGACTTTTTTTTTCCTCTTTATTTTTTGTTTCCTTTTAGAAAAATTCCCACAAAACTAATATTTCTTTATGGATAGATCAGAGCTTTTAAAAGGATTGTTAACTGTAGTAAGGGGAAATATCAATGTCCTGATTTCTTAGTTGCCTTGAAAAATCATGCACTGAACTATAACTGCTATCTTGACTGAATGAACTGCAGCTTGCTTGTGTGTAGGAAGAGTGCACTGCTCCCTCAGATTTCACTGTTTTCATCCACCTTCCATAGTCTTACTCCTCAAGACCAAAAAGTGTAATTTCTGTTAGAAATGCTCTAGAAAATCTGTATTGTTGGCTTGACACCCGTAGCTCAGCAGTAGGGCGCCAGCCACATACACCAGGACTGGCAGGTTAGAAACCAGCCCTGGCCTGCCCAACAACAATGACAACTACCCCCCAAAAAACAGCCGGGCATTGTGGTGGGCGCCTGTAGTCCCAGCTACTTGGGAGGCTGAGGCAAGAGAACCACTTAAGCCCCAAGAGTTTGAGGTTGCTGTGAGCCGAGACGCCACCACACTCTACTAAGGGCGACATAGTGAGATTCGGTCTCAGAAGAAAAAAAAAAAAAACCAGAAAGAAAAAAAATCTGTATTGTGTAGAATGATCATGTATTTATAACACTTTTTACAAGTTTAGACTAGAAAGTGAGGAAGATCATAAGTTTGGGGGAGTACTTTGCATGTTTGTTTTCCCCCTTTCACAGAACCCTTCCAATCCTTTCAAACTATTGCCAGGTATCCATTAATGATTTTCACTGGATATTAATGGTATTTGAGGTGACTCAGAGGCCTACCTAATGACATCATTAGCTATCTAGATTCAGCCATGCCTGAAAGCAACACAATCCTGGAATTATATTCCTATTTTACTTAATCATTCAGTCTGAGTTAGACTTCCACCATCAATACCTCCCCAAACCCATCCCCTCTAAGACATACCTGCTCCTTCCTGCCTCTGGTTATTTAGTAGCACTAGTTATTTTCTGGGAATTCACTTGTCCTGCATCCCATACTCTCAGGGCATATCTCTCCCTTAACTGTTAAAGTACCTGCCTGATCACATGACAAACGAGCACAGACTGTCTTTTCTACATCAGGACCTCCAAATGCCAGCCACTTACCAGGACACTTACCTGTCAATGGGGTGGATAATGAAGGGGATGGCCAACAGCCCAAGCGCAGTGGTGGTCCACTTTCGGACAGACAGAGGCCAGTGAGTGGTCGTGCCCAGGACATAGAGAGAGGCGGCACACACACGGTTGATAGTGAAGCCTGGAATAGCCACAGAGGCCAGAGCCTGCCACACAAATGTGTCCACCACAGCCACAGCCACCCTGGTGCTGCGGCCTTCTTCAGGGCTTGGCACCTGGTGGGCATAGAGACATTTAATCTAGCTGGGGCAGAGGCAGAAAATCCTGTGATGAGGGGAATGAGGATGGATCAGAGAGAGGCAACTGGCCAGAACAGGAGCACTGGGGCAGAGGGAACTGCCCTTGTGTTGGGCTCTGGACTGTACCACATTCAGGGCTCGGGGTGACATCCCCAGGACAGGTTTATAGACTGCCAAATCCAGGTTTAGGGGTGAGGATATCGGGGCGAGGGTACACTATCCGACAAATAGGACTTAAGTGTGGATTGTACCAGGTGAGGATGTGAAGACTGCACTGTCCCACAGGGACTTTATTACATGTAAGGCTGAAGACTGAACCACATTAAGAAGGGGCTGGGGGCGGGGATGTTGGAGAGCAGGCTAACACTCACCTCTCCAGCCTTCTTTCCTTTGTCAATGGCATCGGCCAGCACGTAAGAGCTGGCCACACCATAGCTCAGCCACACCACAGCTGATGGCACCAGGGAGCGGAATGCCTCCCCCACCTCGTTGGCATAGCCTAGGGGGGAAAGGGACACTTAATTCCCAGACTCATGGACTGTTCCACAAGGGGGCGCTAAAGAGAGCTGGTTCTAATCCTATCCTGCTAAGGCAGAAGCTGGGTAACGTTAGGCAACTGACTTTACCTCTCTGACCCTCCCTTTCTGGTCGTAAACTGGTGCCAAGGATGCCCATCTTGACTCTGGAGCACCATGACTCTGAGGCCTGAACACAGAGTCATTATTATTATAACTCATCGGTAAGATTTCCTAGCCTTGTTCCTAGGAGTGTACCTACACTAATGAGGTAACAGGCAGCCAGAGACTCACTGATGAGCAGCGTTTCTAATCGGACACTCACCACGTGCCCGGCCTTTCTGTCGTACCCCATTCCACCCTTAAAACCCATTGAAAGAGGCCCTCAAGTTCATTGCTTTTTGCAGAGAAAGAAACTGAGGCTCAGGGGGAGTCAGTGAGTGGCAGGGCCAAAATAGGAGTCCAGATCTGCCGACTCCACAGCCAGCCAGAGAGCATGCTAGAGAGGGCAGCCCGCTTACTTCCTTGAAGCTTCCACCCTTGGGTGTAGAGTGACCTTGGCCAAGTCCCTGGCCCTCTCTGAGCCCCGTCTTTGGCCCAAGCAGAATGAGAACAAAGATCCTCCCGACTCCTCCAGGCTGGGCAGGCATCTGGCAACTCTCACTTCCCCACCCTTGAGCGAGTGGGGTAGCCGCGCTGGTCCCCCCGCGCTCACCCAGGTATCGCACCCACGTGTCCCGGTAGAGGTCGCGCTCGGCGCCCCGCAGCTGCGGCTGTGACATGGCTTTCCTGCCGTGGATCTGGCTACCGCAGCCGGCACTGCCTCTCCTGATGTCGCTCCCACCTGCCGAAGCACTCGGGTCCGCAGGGCTGGGACCAACAGTAGGTCTGGGACTGAAGGACAGGTCAAGCTATCTCCGCCAGCAGGGAGCGTCTGCAAATTCCCCGGCTCACCCAAGCCCCTCTCCCAGGCTCTGGTTTTACACACGGGTTTTCTTCACGTTTTCTCTGAGCAGTTGGCGCGAAACCTCTCCCAGGAGTGACGGTAGTTTTTGCAGCCAAAGAAGCCAGAGTTCGTATCAAGAGATGCAACGCTTCATAGCTGTGTGACCTGGGGCAAGAGTACTTCTTTGAGGCTCACTTTATTCGTTGGTAAAATGAGGGACATGATAATAGCCACTCACGGGGAGGGTTTCGAGGGTTAATTATAAGTCATCATTTATTGAGTTTACTACTGGCCCAGACGTTGGCTAAGGCCTCTCAGTGGCTTACTTCCTTAAACTCACCCACCAGCCTGGGATCCCGTTTTACAGGTGAGGAAATAGAAGCACAGAGAAGGTGGATCACTTTCCCAAGAACACACAGCTGCTTTAGTGGCAAGCCTGCATTTGAATCCAGTGTGATTTCAAACGCCATGCTTTTTAGGCGATCTCAGTAAATGAGGCTGGGGATTAAAGAGTGAGAGCCCTGGAGAGGTGGATGCCCGACTCTGGGGTCCCTTCTCAGCAAGTGTCACTCGGATCTAACTGGATCAGTATGGGCCCCAGACTAAACCTCTTGTGGGCAGAATGTTGAATTAATCAATGAACGAACTGGGCAAAGTAGACAGGGTTGGGATGCAAAACTCCAGGGAAATGAGAATAGAAGGAAGGAAGGGTCCTGGGTGTTAATGATTACAACAGAAAGAAGCCCTTCCCTGCCTCAGTTTACCCATGTGAGTAATGAGTGCACTTCACTAAAGTCTGTGACTTCTTTGCGGGTTATCTTTGAGGCAAAGGCGCAGCCCTTAAAAACAGGCAGTCCTGGGTTCAAATCCCAGTTTTGCCGCCATTTAGCTGTTAGCCTCCCTGAGCCCCAGTTAGTTCCCACCCTGTAAAAAATGAGAGTAGCCAATGTTTACAGAGCGCTTACTTGTACCAGGCCTTCTTCTAAACGGTTTGCACTTATTTCCTTTAATCTTTGTAGCAACGCAAAGCGGTAAGCACGGGGTTTTCGCGTGGTACCCAGTAGGCCTGATTAAAAATGAGCTCTTACATCAAATAAAGACGGAGGTAAATGAGTACCATTGACTGTCTGTGGTGGTTCCCGTTTTCAGCCTTAAGTGTCCCTATCACTTTAGGGTCCGATCAAGTCAGCGGTTATTTGCCGGGGAGTGGAGCTTCTAGTGGGAGTGGTAGGTTGGAGCAGTTGCCAGCCCCTGAAACACCGGCAGTACAGGCGCGGAATTGGGAGACGGTCCCTAAAACCACGTGATCTTCGCTACCCTCAGCCTTCCTACTCAGGATCCTCCGCGGGTTTAGTTTGCGCCCGCCAGTACCCACAATTGGAGCTCACAAACCTCTGAGGGCTTACAGAGCAGCCGGATAGGGCGGGGCCTACGCCCTCACTGTGAAGGCAGTCAGGTGCACCATTATTGCCGTAAGCAAAGATGGCGAAGATTAACCACTGGCTAGACCAATCAGATGGCAATCTGGCCTTTGGACTCGCCCCTCCCCCCCCCCACAGGGAAAGCTTCCGCGAGAGACTAGCAGAGGGTTTCTGCGCATGCGCTTGGTCTATTGCGGCGAGGCAGCTGCGAGTCTGCAGGGACTAGAGAAATTGGGTCCGCCAAGTGAGGGCAGCGCGCACTCGAGCGGTGGGCATTGAATTCCACTCCCTGCGAATTGAACGTTCCTTTATTCATTGGTTAATCTTCCTAACAGCGTTGTAAACCAAGGCCAGGATGTCCTCTTGAACACGGGCCTTGGCCCCTTCTGGTCCGCGCTAACCCTGCCTCTGCCCCAAACCCCCCCAGCTTCGCGAGACGAGTTTCCTAGGCTGGGCCAGGACCTGGGTTCTGAGAAAAAGTTCTCACAAGGTTCGGGGCTGCTGTCCGGCGTTCTGTAGGCAGGGCGGTATAGGGTCTGATTAAGTGTTGTGGTTTCGGGGCTGTCTGTGGCCACCCCAGTCCCTGGTTCTGCGAGATACTGGCCCTGCCTTTGGCTTCCCGCCTAAGCAGGCTCGCAACCTAGCTCGACAGGCACAGGCACGAGGAACCCACTAACTACATCTGTTGTCCGCCTTCCACAGAGATGGGAATGCCAAGGCCTTGCTCGGGTCAGTTAGGGAGCAGGGTTGGCGAGTACCATAAGATTCCGACTGGGAAACACTCTTGAGTACTACTGTCTCAATCCCACTTACCATTTTTGTCTAGGGGGTGGTGCCTAAATGCAGGACTACTTGGCGAGAGGCAGGTAGCAATGAAAAGAGGATTAGAAATCTCCCTCCACCTTTTAGGACTCACTCCCACCCCCAGCCTCTCTGGCCTTCCCCAGAGCTCTGATCCCTGAAGGTAATTTCCCTTGTGCTTTGTTTGCATTGGAAAGCAGTGGGTAGGTACCAAAAATCCCAGGAAGCTCTGAGTCACTGAAAATGATTAGTAGTAATTAAAAAGGCAGGCAGTGGGGCCCAGGAATTTGCTGTAGTTCTCAAGGTAAGGGAAAGAGGCCTTCCTGTCTACATCTGAGTGGGAAGATCTGTGCTGACTCAGGCCACCTCCTGAGACCTAGGAAAAGCTAAAAGATATCCAGCCTCAATAAAAAAAGGTCTGGAAGAGCTACTGACCCCCACCATAACTTTAGCAACCAGCTCCCTTGCTGCTTCTCATTGTGATTGAAACTTAACGTGTTCATTTGGGAGCAAGTTCCTCCCCTGCAGCTGGCTTCCCTGAAGTGTTAGGTCTCAATCTTTCACCTTTTTCTAATTGCCTGTTGCCACCATGTAGTACCCCCTTGCTTATCTTAGCTGTCTCTGGACAGGCGAAGTTGGCACCCTTACAGGATAGATCCTAGCACAGTGGCCAGTCCCTGGGGACTTCTAAGAAATTTGAGAGGCAAGGAGACCCACTCCTCCTCTTCCTGATTCTGAAATGAAAGCCCTCCGGATCCAGCCTGAGGCCTTTCCTCCAGCCCAATTCTTTGGGCTGCAGGGTATTGGGAAATGACTGCAAGAAGGGGTAGAACACAGGGAGACACTGAGGGGGGCCAGGGCTGCTGTAAGAGAAGGCCTTATTTTGGGGTGACTTCCCCCAGCTGTTTCATCTTCTCTTCTGAGGCTTTGTCTGGAAGCAGGACCTCCACAGAGAAACTGACCTTCTTGGCATGAATGAAGCTGTAGGTGTTGTCAAACCGCAGGACATCTGAGGGGAGGCAGAAACCAGACATTCAGGCAGTTCTGACAGGGGCCTTGGGGACAGTGATTTCTGTTGATTTGTACTGACTGAGTGAGAGAGTGTGGTAGGTAATGGGGATAAAGGTAGCATAACCAATGGCCCTTGACTTTCTGAAACTTAATCTAGCTAGTTTGACAAGACATTCATGGAGGGAAAAAAATATGAGGCAGAACATGCCAAATGCCAGATAACTACAGAAGACTATTATGTCTCTAATAGCTCGGAAGAAGAGGGCCCAGTAGACCTAAGTCATGTGAAAAGCTTTTTAGAGGAGTTAGGGTTTGAACTAGACTTGAAAGGGGGGAGTGGAATTGTTATCCACTATAATAATTGTAATGGTAATAATGACTATTCGTTTGTTCCAGCGCTGGAAGGTTAATCTATGTATATTATCTTACCCTTCCTCACAGCAACTCTTATGAGGTCAGTGTTGATCCTGTTTTATATCAGATGAAAAGGCTCTTGTGCTGCACAGTGAGGAAATGATAGAGCTAGAATTTCGCTCTGATTCACATTGCTGCCTTTGTCTTGCCTGATGTGGGCCCTGAAAAGCCGGGCCCTGTTCATTTTCTAACAAAAGATAAAATGTGCAAACTTCTTGAACCAGAAAGCTTTTTATCCCAAAGGAAGCTATATGGACAAGGATGCTCATGGCATCCCTGTTTTTTTTTTTTT